AGATTCCGCGCCCTTACCACCTGGCCATGCCGGGCCAAAGGTTTTAGAAAAAGACGATGATAATTTGTTCTTGAACAAGTGTTCAAGTATACTTTTTGGTGTCATTTTATTCGCTCTCCGCGAGAGTGCTTGTCATTTTTCGTACAGTTCTATTGCCTTGACCTTAGTTTTCTCATTGCCTTCTGCTAAACCGATTTTGGAAGATCCACGCTGTATTTCAGCAAGTCTTTTAAGCTGACTTTCGACAATTCAGAAATGCAAATGAAGGAAACTGAACACTGATCTGTGTTCCTCTAGTTGCTGAATTCTCTACAATCATCTAATGGTTGTATCGACAGTTTCGTTAAAAACATTGACCTTGAAGCTTTGCTGTGTATCAAGAATAACTTTATCACAACTCTGATATAAAAACTGTATATTTTATATGATTCTGCTGTTCTTCTGCAAACTCCCTCAAATCCATCAGTACTTTGCAAAGCATTCATCAGTCCTTCATTGAAGAAGGAAATATTCTATTTTTTCACAGTTGTCTTCTAGCTATTCGCTGGTGAGTTTGATCTCATATAAAAAAGTCGCCACAAATCTGAAACTTAGTTACTTGGCAACGATTGCTTTCGCTTCACAACGTGACTTTATTTCATTGAATCCTATCATGGCGTCGACTTCTGCAATGGAGAACAAAGCGTCGAGACCTCTCTAAGTTTTGAGACGATTTTTTGCTATTTTTCGTTTGTCTGTCTTTAGAATTGTCTTTGTCATGAAAGGTTATGAGTTCTGAAACAACATTATCAGTATTTATAGCATAAGCCATCTCATTGATTTAAGCAGCACTACTTTGCCTACTTTTAATGGTAGTTTCTTCACTCTCTTTAAACGTGTCGAGTTAGGAAAACTTGCAACGAACGCCCTTTTGGTTTTTCAATACTTGTGTCTTGTTTCCTTAATCTTTCCGATATCAGGCATCAAAAAAGGCAGTGCTTTTCATTAGCACTATTTTAATTGTTACTTTGATTAGTTATATATATATAACTTTTTTCTCAGTTCACTATTTAAACACTTTTGGGTAACCACTATCTTAATTGTTACTTTGATTAGCTATATATATAGCTCTTTTTACTAATTATTTAAAAATGAAAAATACTTTTATAATAATACTCTTAATCTGTATGTTTTATCAAGAAAAAAACTTGAAGCTTGTCGAGCTCGCGCCTCTTAAATGAAACAGTAACCTAATTCCCAGAATTTTGTTCAAAATTTCTAGTTATACGTTTTATTATTTCACTTTTATTTTGACCGATTCCAGAGAAAACAAACAAACGAGAAATTCTTATTATAAAGAGGGAGAATCTGAACCCTCTTCGATTAACTACTCGCAACTCGTTAGTTGATAACGCATCATCGGCGATTCTCCAGTTAGCCGTCCCTAATTTAGCGGGGAAAACTAGAGGAAAGTCAACGCCACTCACCACCAACTCTTGGGCTAACCTTTTACCAACGAATAGTGGGATTGAGCGTCACGTTATAATACTTCTACGGCTGAAAGGGTGAGTATGTTCGGCGAAGGGGATTCGAACTTGTGCTCCCCCGATTTCGGGTATAGCGCCCTCACCACTAGGCCATGTAAACATCTAAGTTATTTAATTCACACAAAACCCTTGAAAATATAAAAGCGTATTTCTGCTTAATGTACACACCACAATTCTAGCAACGTAAAAATATCATTATATTTAATTTAAACGAAAACTTCAAAGCCCTTGCTAAAAAACAAAATACAATTCACAGTCATAGCTGTGCAGAAATATAGTTTTTAATTTACTCACACTTCACAGTTGTATCAACGTGGCTTGGTTTGAGTTATGCGATACCAATCGAAGTGTAAATATATTTCGTTACGAATACAATGACACAGCTCTTATGCATATCCATCTAAGTCCGTATTTTTTTAAGTTGCTGATTTTCTATTATACTCGCACAATTATTTTCATGTAAACACGAAGTAGCATTTAAGGAAATATGAGGTGTTGCAAATGTGTTCACCATAACTTGAAAGTGTTAACTCTGTGTGATTTTTATATGTCACTGGCATTCAAATAAAAATGTATATTTCGTTGGATAGACCTGTGATTCAAACACGTTGATCATGTAGCTTACCTTCTCTCCTCTGAAAGGATGCTTGAAGGTGGTGCCTCTGTACTTTTCCCAATATTTACACTTAAACTGTATTCATCTTGTGACGCATTAGCACTCATTTTAGATGTTAATCTTTTCAAAACATCGTCCATCGTCCGTTTTCCAGCATGGCCACCAGAGGGTTTACTGCTTTCACCGACGTATGAATGGTTTAGCAATTTCGATGAGGGTCTCCCATCAGCTGAAACTGCTTCATTACCTTCGCTGTAAGCACCCTCCGAGTCGTATTCAGAGTCAGTTGGGGTTTCAGAACGAGCTGATAAAACACTTTGTAACAACCTTTGTTTCCGGCTATGTAGCAGCGTGGGCGTGGCTTTACTGCCAGAATCACTCGCTAAACTGTCACAAGAATCGGCTTCAGGTTCATCACCTCGATGTCGAAAAGCACTAACTGAGTAGTTTTCAGGCGTACACATTTCGTCAATGAGGCTCACTCTATGAAAAATGTCTCCGTTTCTCTGTTCTGCTTTAGACCGACCAGCTGAGTTCATAAGCAGGCCTTCATTGAGAGGACCTTTATTCTCATAGTCTAAATCGTTGTTATTCTCAACGTCCACGTGGTTGTGAAGAAGTTTGGTCAGTCGAGAGTTTCGTCGGGGGACTCTTCCGCTTAGAGGACATCCTCCTGTGAGAAATCACAACAAATATTTAAGGTAATCAGTATCGCATAGCAGGAATATATAAACATGTATAATAACCTAAGTTACTGATGAACATCGTGCAAAAAGACGTAACAAAATATTGTGTCACCCATAAAGTAATATTAAGTATATATTTTATTACCAACCTTTTATTTGAGTCAGTGTAGAGCTATTCTATTTTCCAGCTTCAAGCTATATTCTACCCTAACCAAGTTTCAAGTTAGTATGAAGCCCTCGTTTCATCACAGTCATGTTTACGGTTATCAGAAGTTGCCACAATCATGTTTACGGTTATCAGAAGTTGCCACAATCATGTTTACGGTTATCAGAAGTTGCCACAATCATGTTTACGGTTATCAGAATTTGCCACAATCATGTTTACGGTTATCAGAAGTTGCCACAATCATGTTTACGGTTATCAGAAGTTGCCACAATCATGATTACGGCTATCAGAAAGTTGCATAAAATGGTACCATTTCAAATTTGCACTTCCTAGATTCTAGAACATTCGGTTGGCTTTGTCATCAAGCTTGTCTGTAGAATATTTTTCAAGTCCACGTTATGTTAACAGTTACCAGAATGAAGTTCAAAGTTAGCATAAACACACTTTATTACGCTTGTCTAATTCAGATATCAGGAAGTTCAAATTACACTCTATCACAACGAGGTGTGTAGCCATCACGTGCAAGTGGCTTACTATCAAATGTATATACCCATCATGTGCAAGTGGCATACTATCAACTATATATAGCCATCATGTGCAAGCAGCATGGCATCAAGTTTAGAACTATTATGTACAAGTGACATGCTATAAAGTTTACAGCCATCATTTACAAATGGCGTGCTATCAAGTTTACCAGAAAGTCCAGAAGCTAGCAACTTTAGAAAAACAAAAATAATTTTGTATTTACCAGAAAGTCAAAATGACCTGTTATTAAATTTAGTTATCAAAACGCTGAACGAAATTATATCGTCAATAAGTTTATTATTATCAACATTCATTTCGTTATCAGAAGTTTTCGCGATCCATTTTATGGACCATCTTTAACTACAGTGAAATGTGTGACCGATAGAGGGATGCACTGACCACATAGAATCGAATTTTCTGACAACGTGTAAAGAAGCGATTAAGGTGTCACACTCAGCTTGTCGCTTTCTTAGGGAGGATAAGATGAGCTAAGCAGACAAAACGACCGTCAAGTGCATACTTATAATTCACTAACGTTTTCCCTCTCGGCGATACTTTCTGTCTCGCCCTTATCATGTTAATCAGCGCGTGAGCTGCTGACACTGGTGGGGCACGTACGGTATGTGAGCGTGGGCAAGTTTTACATACCACAGAACAGCAATTATCCGCAGATTTTAGACTCTATCTATAGAATATAAAAAAGGGGGGTGAGGTGGAGAAGAGAACAGAATAAAAGTGTACAAATTCTTATAAATATATAATGTTTAATGCTGGGATGGTTATTAAAGTCACAAAATATTATTCAATACAAACTCGAATAATTACAGCTTGTCATATGTACTTTGAAGAATTATATCAAGTAAAAACGTAAAACATATTAACAGATGTGGCTACAGTTTAAAAAAAGCCTTACACTTAACTATCAAAGCAAAGTGTTGCACCACCGGAAACTTCATGAGAAATTGGCCTCTTACCGGAAATGACATCATGATCTGATATCAGAGAAATTAAACGTAATGGACTAGATATTATAAGCATAAAAAATACTTCCGTTGTCATTATGTTTTCTTGAAACTGGTGCATTATTTTCTGCTAATTAAACCTTTATAGAAATACTAGTGGGAAACGAAACTGTCTGAAATGGCAAAAGAGATCTTCGTCTGAAATTCTGTTTTTCATTTTTGTAAATTGTATTATTAATGCGAAGAGTGTATATCCACAATATTGTAATACTCACAGCCACGAGAACAAAGCCAATGTGATGATTAATACCACTCTGAGTACAATATTCTTGAATTTATTATATATGTAGCTGGTAAAAGAGTGGGCCTACAGCCCACATTTCGACTGCCACCTTGCACCGCTCTACTACCTATTATAAGTTCAATAGACGACTCTAGACCATAATGAAACGTTGAACAACACAAGAGATCAACCTCAGTACTTGATCGGCGAGTGGCTTTTAGATAGACATCACCAATAAAAGAAACGGCGAATGTCTTGGATTAAAAATAGCCGTCTTGGGATGAGAGAATTAATGAAACGTTAATTAGTTAATATTACAATAAAATCATACCTCTGTCCCCATCCCAGGGGATAAAATGTCCTCATTTCTGTTACATGGAACGTGTCCTTCGTGGGTCAACGGTAAATTTACGGACTTACAATGCTAAAATCCAGGGTTCGATTCTCGGTGGTGGACAGAACGTAGCTACTCTATTGTGTGGCTTTGGGCTAAAATCAAACAAACAATAAATGCCTCTTAAACCGAGATTTAAAGATGCATATGTTTGCCCGTGGACAGAAGAAATAACATCTTCTGGAGATTTCCACAGAATAACGTATTTCACTGAACACGTTTAACACACTACACTCATAGCTAAGCTTTTCGAGTCATTTGTCTTCCTAAAGTGGTTAGTGAGCCTGGACTGTGAAAACAAGGGTTTATGATTCACGTCCCGTTGCCACAAAAATGGACTCCACACTTTTGATGCGTGAGTGCGCCATAACAGTGGTGTTCTAAGATTACTTGTCGGTCAGATACGAGTTGGCAGTATGTGCTTTAGACTGTCTTCCCCGTAGTCTTTCAGTTAAAACTTAGGGACGAGAACATTCTGAATCAAACGTACTTAAAGTTCGAAAGCATAGTGACAGCCAAGCTTAGTGAAGGAAGGTTATCTTATAAATATGTTCAGTAATACAATGAATCTCAAGTCTGGCTAATAAATATTTCATTGTAAATATCAAGTGAATTGTAGCGTTATATATATATATATATACATATATATATCACACGAAATTACCATCAATGTATATCTTTACTATAATCTGAAGACCGTCCCCACTCATACAAAGAAAATACTTGTTGATGTAAGAAAATCATCTGGTCACAAAAACCGAAACGTCATTAATAATGATATAAATAAAACATATAGTTACGATAGCGAAACGTCATTAATATGTAAAGAAAATATCTGGTTGCGATACCAAAATTCCAGTAATGATGATAAATAGGAAACATCTTGATAAAATTCCGAAACGTTATTAATAATGATGTAAAATAAAAACTTTTTTTTACATTAAATGTGTACGTTTTACATACATGTATTTGAATGTTCAAGAATAAAATATATTTTTTTTATCATGATCTATTAATTTATGTAATAATACTTGAAGGTCGGATTATACGATGTCAATAAAACATCTAGTTATGTGGTTTTTAAAGTACGCTACTTTTTCTCTTCTGAAGCTTCTTTAGCCGGACTGTTGAAAACGCTGAGTGAAATCCTACAGTGGTGTAAGCAATACGGTTGGGAAGTAAATAAAATGAAATGTACAAAAATAAAGAGAGATGGAAACCTAAATTTTACACAGAAAACACAAAGAGGATTTACTTATTGAGTAATGTTCTTGCCAACCTCCTCCTGCTGGCTATATAATATTTATTAATTATTAAAGTGTACAATTCTATAACTTTGGTTCCAGAATGTACAAAATATTTTGACTTTTCCATAGGGATACAAAACGGTCTTGTAATCTGACTAATGTAATGTAGAGCGAGCAATATTTTCTTTATGTATTTAATCTGTTGCTTTTAAGTTGTGCCTAAATCGTCAGTGCTTGTCTTAAGCCGATATGACTCTAGCAGTCGGACAGTTTAACTTCTTCAGATGTTTGGCCTGCTGAAGAGAATAACGTTCAATGAATATAGTAGTCAGTTGTATACATCATCGACTAATAACGTTAATAAAGAAAAGCTTGCCCTAAGGTCTTAAACAGTTAATTCGTCGGTTTGAGACAATTAGGCCAGAGAAAACTACAGAAAACAATATAACAACCACTAAATCTCAAAGGGTTTCGCTTTAGAAACTTTTACGCCATCGAGGAACGTGGTTCACACTTTCCACTTAATATTACACAATAGGTTTAGATAAAACCGATGACCAATAAAACGTGGCTAGAAACCACGCTTCGAACAGTTGAAATTCACTTTTATCCGAGTTGAGGGGGGGGGGGATTTATTCAAGAAATAATTATGAAAACCCTCACGAAGATTAACAGAAGCTTAATAATGATCCTTTATTATCAATAACTTCCCATCAAAAATCTACTGGCGTAGGTCAGACGTAAAAATGAAAATTAATGAATATATAGATAATATACGTTTTTAAGATATATTTTTTGGTACCCTTGCTGTTAACGATGTTTTCGGCTGTAATGTTACTTTGTGGTGAAGCTTCTCTAACACATATCACGATTAACACATTTCTTTATATTTGTTGATAAAACTGTCTGTACACTAACTATTACAGCAAATAGTGTCTATTACGAGAAAACCATGGTATTCTACGCCTAGATGAGTGAGGCATTGGAAACATCACCCTCCAACAAGACAGATCCTCCCCCCTACCTCCCATAGCTGTCGTCACGTTAAAAGCCTTTTAATAGACATTCTTACTAAAGATAGAATCCTAAGCTATTCAGAGATGATCTAACTGACTGTACGTTAATTCACTTACACCTACCATTAAAACTACGAATTAGATACTAAACCTGTTAACAATACCTGTACGTCGCTGTAATTGTTGAAATAACGGTTAATATTAATTTATGATATACCTTTACAAGATAACAATATGTAAATGCTTTTTTAATATCACTGAGAAATGGAATTGGGAATTTTAAGCAGAAAGGCGCCTTGTATATGTGTGGGTTAATAACCAGGTCAAACTCTCCTATAGGATTCAGATATAACCGTCTCTAATTTTGAAATACTGCCCAAAGGGAAAGTACTCA